ACACCCGGTTTAAGGAGAAATTTTTTAACTGAACAGTAGATAGACAGAGAAAATACTATGTTCTTAGGTTGTTAGGCTGTCGTAGGATAGATTTTTTACACATTTCTCTTAAGTACATTGTGTTTCATAAACTTGGTCTAGAAACTTTTGTAACCCCAAATTAATTATATGTATTTAGAGGAATGAGTGTTTAAGACACCAAGTGCTTTGATAGGCAGTGAATGTTAAAACAGGAGGCAGATAGGAGTGATGGCCTGGCTTTAAAGTTATCCCAACTTTCATTTACCGTGGAAGCTTGAAGAGGTCACTTAGACTCTCTGAACCCTATTTGCCTAAATCAGTACATGGCTGCCAATCTTCTGGGCTTTTGAGCTTGAAAATACTAATCTGTGAGGTTCTGTCTTGATTTTTTTTTGTTGTTGTTGTTGACTGGGCATCGTTTTCATGTCATTTGGTCTTCTAAGAGCATCCTAGTCCATGAGTTAGAAATACTTTTCTCTTTCAGTTATGGGGACACTCCATTCTTAGGCTTTAAGATCACATGTAAGCCACTTCTCTGAAGTCTTTCTTCTGTGACATCTCTGGGAAGTTGGTTCTACCTGTGTGTTTCTCTGTATGTAACATACAACATTTTACTTCTCTGACATACTTGCCTCTGGCCACGCCAGTGCTTTCTCCATCAAAAGGCAGTGTGCCCTGCCTAGTAAAACGTGCCATGCTTTCAGGTTGCGATGGACTCATGAGTGCATGTACTACTGATAAAATAGAGTTTACAAGAAGAATTCAACTCATTATCAGTGCTCATAGTATTTAAGAATGCATTTTAATGACCAAGGAAGTTGGGAGATTTTTTTTTTTCCTGCTCTTTCACTCTCTCTTTTCCTTGTTAATGAACAGGAGATGTCCTTAAGTGGTTGATTAAATAGAAACAATGTAGTTGAAAACTCCAGAAAAGCATGTGAAGATTATACACTTGGCACCTCCTCCTGTTTCTGCATGTCTGGGAATTTGATTATTACTTGGAGTTTGGAGGGAAGGGAAGCACTTTTGTTCTGGGCATTATCTTCCACTCCAGAGACTACTTGAAAAATGGAATTAATTCTCTGGGGTCAAGATATTTTTTCCTTATACAGTGCCAGCTAAAATGTCAAAATCTGTACCTGTCATCTCTTACTTGTTTACTTTAAAAATTTTTTCAACTCCATGATGATAGCATTACCTTCTTTTCAGCATGTGCTATTTATTGGTTTCATTAGCACTATGAAGTAAAATGTTAAGAGCTGAGGGTATGGCTCAGTGGTAGAGCAATTGCCTGGCATGTATGAGACATAGGTTCAATTTCAACACTACCGAAGAATTTTTATTTTCTGTTAATTATATTTAAGGCAGTCTTCTTTCTGAGATTTCTCCTGAATAGATTTCTCAGAGGAGGCTGATTTTACCAGTAATATGCAAACCTCACACCTCAACCCTGAGGGTCTTTCTTTGCTAAACCTTAGGGGTTTATTAAAAACAAAACAAAACAAAAAGCACCCAATAAAACAACCTTTTAGCCTCTGATTTGATTAAGAAGACTTTTGGAGCAAGACTTAGTTTTATCTGCCTTTTTTTTTTTTTTTTTTTTTTTTTTTTTTTCAGGGTTTCCCTGTATAGACCAAGCTGGCCTTGAAGTAGCAGAGATTCACCTGCCTCTGCCTCTGCCTCCCAAGTGCTGGGATGAAAGGCATGTACCAATACACCTGGCTTTATCTGTCTTTTTAATGAAATTAATTTATTCAGTATTCTTCTCAAGCCTTAAAAATTAAAAGTTCCTTTTACTTTTAAAATGAGTGGACTAAAATTATATTTAGCTGTTTATATTACTATGTGTCTTTACTTTGTGCATGGTGTCTGGGTATTTCCTGAGTGGGTATGGGTATAGAGATATAAGACACACTGATTGATTATGTGTCTAAGTCATTTATATTTTGTGAGGCATAAAATAGGTATAGTGGGTATCACAGTTTTATTTTTGATAAGAAATTTTACTTTTTGGAAAGATGAAATTTCCAGGAAAAATGTTTATATTCCTTGTTTTTCTTCTCAGATAATGGCTCTGGATCAGGAGAAGGAGGTAAGTTTTCAATATTTCTTTTGTTATTTTGAAACAGGGTCTCTCTTTGTAGCTCAGACCGGTCTGGCACTCACTATGTAGCACAGGTTTGATCTCAAACTTAGTCTTCCTGTTTCAGTCTCTTAAGTGCTAGGATTCCAGGCATGAGCCTCAGTGCCCAGATGAAGTCCTTCTTACCTGGCATTTGTTTTCCTTCCCTTTTCTTTTTAACAGCTCTGAGATATAATTCACATACCACAGCATTCACTCAAAGTGTACAACACAATGACTTTTAGTGTGTGCACCGAGTCGTATGTTTACCACCACAGACAACTTTAAAGGAAACCAGGTGCCCTTAGCTCCTAGTGCTGTCCTTTTTAACTTCAGTCATTTTCTGTTCCATGCAGTTGTCACTGAAGGTTTGTTGTGAGACTGGAGGGAAACCACTGTAGCTCTGGTTAAATTGAGTTACACAAAGTGACTTCCCTCAGGACTGTCTGTCCATACAAGTGATTTTTAACTTGAGACAGAATATTTATAACTCTTTTACTCTCTGCTTCCATTAAAAAAAAAAAAAAAATCACAAGGTAACAAGGTAAAAAAAATCCAGACTAAGTTGTACATTGATAAGGGAAAATTTGCAGAACAGCTCTGGTAGAATTTAGAGTTTAATTAAAACCTTTAAAAACCATGTTAATCACTTTAAAAATATTTTATTATTATTTTTTTTTATGCGTATGAGTGAATTGCCTGCTTGTATGTACTTGCACCTGTGTCCTGCAATGCCTGTGGAGGTCAGAAGAGGGTGTCGGATCCCCTGGAACTAGAGTTAGGGACGGTTGTTAGTTACCATGTGAGTGCTGGGAACTGAACCTGGGTCCTCTGCAATAGCAGCCAGTGCTCTTAATTGCTGAACCATCTCTTCAGCTTCCATAAATTATTCAGATGTTTAAAAATATACTATTTGGTAATAGGATTTCTAATTTTTTGATTTATTTTTATTTTATGTGTATGAATGTTTTGCCTGCATGTATGTAAGTGCACCTGTGTTGTGCAAAGCCTGTGGAGCCAGGAGAAGGCATTGGATCCCCTGGAACTGGAGTTATGGAGGTTGTTAGATGCTTTGTAGGTGCTGGGAACTGAACCTGGGTCCTCTGTAAGAGCAGCCAGTGCTCTTAACTGCTAAGCCATTTTTCCATCCCTGGTAATAGCATTTAATAGAGTTACATGATCAGAATTGAGAATGACTAATCTACTTCATCTTTAATGGAGCTCTGAATCTTACTATCTACTCTATGCAAAATGAATATTTGAGCTACTCTGGGAATATGTTAAAAGAACACACTGGAATAGTTCTCTGGAGATGTAAACTACAGTTAGGATCCTTTCAACACCAAGGGTATGAAGCCTTGTTCCAGGCTACTCCTTACTCTGCATTTTATTTTATTAGAGTTATTTTATTTATTTATTTTTTATTTTATGTGTATGAGTGTGTTTCCTGAATGCATGTGAGTGCACCCATGTTGTGCAATGCCATGGAGGTCAGAAGAGGTCTTTGGAGCTTCAGATTCCCCTGGAACTGTAGTTAAGGACGGTTGGTAGCTGCCATGTGGATGCTGGGAATTGAACACGGGTCCTCTGCAAGAGCAGTCAGTGCTCTTAACCACTGAGCCATCTCTAGCCCTGAGTTATTTTATTTTTTAAATTACACATATGTATGTATATCTGTATGTAGTCTGTGTTTGTGTGAGTACAGGTGTCCTGGGAGTCCAGAAGAGGGCTTTGCATCCCCTGGGGCTGGAATTACGGATGGTTGTGAGCTGCCTGAAACAGTGCTGGGGACCAAACTTGGTTCCTCTGCAAGAGCAGTTTGTGCTCTTAACTGCTGACCTGTCTTTCCAGCCCCCTTACATTATGTAGAATCTTAAAGTTTCAGAGTTAGAAGAGACTTTGAAGGACTTCTAGAGAATAGAACAATCACGAGGAGGAAGTGCAGGGATGGCAGTTTCAGCCAGAAAGAAAATGATTAAAGCTACTGAACAATAGGATTTGATTTAAATGGAAATGTTCAAGCAAGAGTTCCATAATCATATGTGAAAGATAACCATGAATTTTAGATCTGAGGGCTAGAAAGGATTTTAAGATCCTGTGACCTGTTCCTTGTGGTCATATGTTCAGATAGGAAGCACAGTTGTGCCCAAGATTTGTTACTATAATACAGTACTTGCTGTTCTGCCCTGGGAATATAGGTTGTCTGCCTGCCTCCATCTCCCCCTCCCCCAGCAGGGGAGTATGAGTTAGAAAGGTTAAGTGGTTTGCTCAGCCATTTGGATCTCATGATGGTTGTGAGGTCTCAGATTACTAAGGATTATGATCTCTGCAATCTGTTTGGGAATGTTCATGAGAGTGTGATAGAGTGTAGGCAGATGCCATAAACTTAGGAAGATTAGGTACTTGTGTGCTTTCCTTTTAGTACCTTTTTAACTAACGGGCACCCCGGGTATAGGGTACTGTATCACAAACCAAATTCCTTGAGAAAACTGTGGTCCTTAATCACAGCTGCCATTAACAGTCCAAGACTCACTCTAGTTGAGGTCCACATGCAGGATTCCCTTGAGTGAGGGCTGTGAGTTCTGTCTGTAGGAATGATTTTTGCTTTAATAGGAGACCCATGGATTTCTGCATCTGAGTATTTTCAGCTGTGCTACATAGCCAAGTAGAAAACGGGAAAAGTCCTTTATAAGAACACCCTTTCCTTGTTAAAATTTGGAGACAAGTCTTTCTTTTAACTCTGGAGTTAGTCTTCCTGTATTTAGAAAGGCAGGTGGAACTTATGTGAGAAGAAGGTGAGCATTATGTTCTACTCGCTAGAGGCTGGCCTCGAACTCACAGAGATCTGCCTGCCTCTGTCTCCCGAGGGCTAGGATTAAAGGCATGTGCCACCATGCCCAGCTGATTTTTTTCGTTTGTACTCAATGTTTCATGGTAATTCTTTTAAAAGCTGTTTATCAGGCCTCCTATGTTGTTTCTGCACACATAGCTCGAGGGGCTGTTTTGCTTACAGTACTTGTGGCACAGACTGTGTTGTTTGGTATTAGCAGCAGTTTAGACTCCAGCTTTGAGAAGTCTTCAGAAGTAACGATCTTCAAAACCTTGGGTGCATTTTCCTTCAGAAGATAATGCTTCTGAAAACATGAGGTGTATCTGGGAAGGAGCCATCCCAACTTCTAGTTGAAAGTCTAATTTTTCTTTTTAAACAGAGGAGGACGGTTCAGGGTCAGAAGCTCACAGAAAGCATTCCAAGTGTGGACCTTGCAAATACAAGGCTGAGTGTGATGAAGATGCGGAGAACGTTGGGTGAGTTGAGGGAAGGGATGAGCGCTCCAGGTGTTCCTTGGCCTGACTGCATTGTGAAAAGTCTCTGACCTGGTTCTGGATATTTTTATGCATACTTTTTTACATTTTTAAAAAATATAATGCTAGTCTAATTGACTCTTAAGTATACATAATATAGTAACTATTCAAAGAAGTTGTATGTTCAAAATGAGAATCCATTTACAGTTTTTCTGAGCTTTATCTGTGGCCTTTTTAAATAATTTTACATGTTTTATGGTAATATTATTTTATTCATCAAAACTTAATTTGAATTGTCCCATCTCACTTTCTCTCAAAATCTGTAGTAAACAGCTTATTTTTCTTATCTTGCAGTTTTATACAAGAACTTGTCATGTTTCAGTGCATTAAGAAAAATCCAAGATTGTTGCAGAATTTTAGCTGTATTAGGTGAAGATTTTCTACGATTGAAAATCATTCTTACACATTCCAGTTGTATAGCACATGCTGTTTTTCTTGTCTATGTGGAGGCTTTGCTAAGATGAGCTTTGTGCTGATAGCCTCACGCAGGGTCCCACCAGCTCTCTGAGAAGTGGTGTTCATTGGTGGGGTAGTGATGGTGGCAGGCACTTATCAGCAGTCTGACCTTTCATTTCATCAGTATCCTGTTGGCTTATTCCCAGTCTCCTCCTTTAATTTTCCTATGGAGCTTCATTTGTGCATATTTGATTTTAAAAGCTTTAATGCTGACTTCAGGCCCCAGCAGCTAGATGCGTCTTTTTCATTTCCTGTTTCCTCCAGAGCATATCTGAGAGCACTTTTCCTTTTGTGCGTATTTATGGTGTGCATTTTTCAGTTCCATGTTTTATTCAGCCCTTAAGTGCTTTTCATCAAAGGAGTAGTATTGTGATTTAATTGGTATTAATGCCCAAAGTAAGTTTACAAATCAAGACCATCCATTTTTAGTATTTATGGCACAATATCAGCTGTTTCGGTGGCATTTGGAAAAATTAAAAGCTTGGTAGTTTATTTGGTGTGTTTAACATAAACAAATTTAGTAAAAAGTGACTAGCAGAAATCAGAATTTGTTTTTGCACATTAAGGACTGGCCTAAGTCTGTTTCCATCACAGTGCTTTGATTTGGGAGGCAATGGCTCCTAGGACAAGGGAGAAGTGATAAGCAATTTGTACTTTCAGAACAGATACTAGAGACTGTGTTGTCTTCTCTTGATGTTACTAATGATCAGACATGATGAAATAGTAGTGTGTATGTTTCTGTCTGCCTGTGCCTGTGTCTGTGTCTGTGAGGGAGTTTCTAGATTGGGTTACTGAAGTGGGAAGACCCATTCCACATGGAAGACACTATGCTATGGGTTGGGGTCCTGGACTGAATAAAAAGGAAAAAGCAAACGTAGCTCCAGCATTCATCTCCCCCTGCGTCCTGACTGCAGGAAGCAGTGTGACCAGTTGCCCCAAGCCACCACCACCATGACTTCCCTACCATGGTGCCAGTGTCTTTGAACTGTGAGCCAAAATAAACCCTTCTTCCCTCAGTTGCTTTGGTCAGGTATTCTCCCACAGCAGGGAACCAGGTAACTAATAGTGTAGTGGTCCCCTGACTTGATTTCATAACCCACTACTGTTTATGACTTGTAGTTTGAAAGATAATGCTCTCAAATATAACTATCACAGATAGATATTTCACATATTTTTAGATATGAGTATCCATTAAAATGTTTCATCTCATTTCAAATACCTTTCTTGTTAGAAGAAAGGCTGCATAATCTATCTAGTTTCCAAAGATCAGATTAAAATCTTTCACTTGATTTAAAGCCCTTTCTGTTGTTAATAGTTAAGTTTTTAAAAGTCCAGCATTTTTGAGGAAGGAATAAGTGGTTACCATAGAGGTTAGTTTTCAGTTATTGATTTAAATGAAATTTTATTTAATTATGCTGTGTAATTCCTTCTCTCTCCCTCCTTTGTGTGTGTGTGTGTGTGTGTGTGTGTGTGCATGCAGTGGCATGTGTGGAGGTCAAAGCGAGAACAACCTTGGGTGTTGGTCCTCACTGTCCATCTTGAGACAGGACCTCCTGGTTTTTTGCTCCCATATATGCTGGGGTCATTGGCTTGGGGCTTCCAGAATCCTCCCATCTCTGCCTCTCATCTCACCATGGAGCATTGAGATTACAGGTGTGTGCTGCCATGTCCATTTTTCCATGGTTCTGGGGATTGGAACTTGGGTCTTCACACTATCACAGCAAACACTTTACCCATTGAGCCATTTCTGAGCCCCCTCCTCCCTTTTTAAGACAAGGTCTTACATAGCCCAGTGGGGCCTTGGACTCCTACTCCTCCTGCTTCAGCTTCCCGAGTGCTGGGACTGCAGGCATGTGCCATCATGTCTGGTTTGCCTTGCTTCCTTGAAGAGAGTATATATTTTGATATATTCTTGAAGTTTTTTACAGTGTGTTAGTCTCTACATAATTTTTTTTCCCTCCACCTTTCTGGTAGTTGTCAGGAAGACAAGAAAATATTACCCTGATTTTACAGGGCAGGTGAGCCCAGGAGGACTGGAGTGGCTTGCTGTTAGCAGCAGAGCACAGATCTCGTGAAAAGGAATCTATCGCTTGTGTTGTGCATGTGTGGAACACCCAGGTGTCCTTAGAGGCTTCTGGTGTGGTGGTTTCACTGTTACACTTAAGGCTTCATTCTGCTTTGTGTTTTGAGTTCTTACATTTGTTTTTAAAAATAATTGTTCTGGGATGGTGAGACAGCTCAAGTTGGTAAAATGTTTGATGCGTAAGCATGCAGAGCTGAGTTTGATTCCCCAGCAGCTGTGTAAAAAAATCTGTGTGGGGTGCACACTTAGAATCCCAGTGCTGGGGAGGCAGAGACAGGCAGGTCCTGGCCACACACACTCAACCATTCTAGATTAATCTTTGAGCTCCAGTTCCCAGTGAGAGAACTGTCTCAAAAAATAAGGTATATGTCTCCTGAGGAACAACACCTCAGGTTAACCTCTGGGCTCCACACAGTCATGCACATGTATACACACACTTGCATGCATATGAACACACAGATAAGCAAATAACTTTTCTGGGGCTGGGGATGTATTAGTTATTCAGTTGATACAGACCAGGGTTCAGTTCTCAGCACTGTATAAACTGAGTTTGGTGGTACATGCCTATAATCCCAGCACTCAGGAGGTGGAGGCATGAAGATCACAAGTTCAAGCTCATCCTCAGCTACATAGCAAATTTGAGGCCAGCCTGGGCTACATGTGACCCTGTATCAAAAAACAAAACCAAAAAAAAAACCAAACCAAACCAAACCAAACCAAACCAAACCACACACACGCACGCACGCACAAAAATCAACCAAATGGCTTTCTTCTCTTTTCTCAGGTTGTCAGATGCATTTGTGAGTGCTGTCACTGCCTTGCCAACGAGCCTGAGGTGTCTTCAAAGTTTCATTTGCTTCTCTGCTTCCTAGAATAGGAAACAGTACACGTCTGTGAGTTATATCTAATGTAGGAACAACTTCTAAACATCAAATGGTGAACAAAGCATATGAATATTTGTGTTTTCTATCTTCTTGAGACAGGGTCTCTCTGTAGCCCCAGCTGACCTGGAACTCACTATGTAGACCAGGCTGGCCTTGAACTCAGAGATCCACCTGCTTCTAAGCATGTGAATTTTATTGCATGTACCTTCTGTCTCTTGTCTGCTTGGTGGTCACTTCAGTCACTTATACCTTAAATTACTGGCTAGAGAGATGGCTCAGCACTTACCTGAATTCACTTCCTAGCACCCATTCTTGGCAGCTCACAACTGCTTGTAATTCTAGCTCCAGGATATCAAACACCCTCTTCTGGTCTCTGAGGGTACCTGCACTCACATGCAAAAAACTGCATGCACACACACATAAACTCACATGCACGTGCACACACACAATTAAAAAATAAAAATAAACCTTTAAAACAAAAATAACATTAATTTAAATTACTTCTGAGGTACTTTGTTCTCTCCCTTCGTGAGGCAGTCTGTGCTTTTCCTGTGACGTGAACGTTGCATGAGCTTGTGATGCATGGGCTTTTGGATTTATACCTACAGGGAGGGAGGTAAGGTTCCTTAAACTGCAACTCCCCCCTAAATGAAGCTTCATCATTCCTCTGTGACCATTGTCAGGTGAGGCACTGTCAAGTGAGGGACTTTCAAGACTTTCTTGTTAGTTTGTGTGTGTGTGTGTGTGTGTGTGTGTGTATGTGTCTTTTTGAAACAGGGTCTCCTAGTAACCCCAGCTGGCCTGGACTCAATATGGAGGTCAGGCTGGCCTCTATCTCACAGAGATCCATCTGCCTTTTCCCCCCACCCCCCAAGTGCTGGGGCTAAGGGTGTGCACCACCACGCTTGGCTCTCCTTGGTCTTAAAGCTTCAAAACAGCATGTCCTTTATGAATCACACATTATATTTCTTTTTTTTTCTTTTTTAAAAATTTATTTTTAAATTTTTTTTTATTTTTTAGAAGAAGCATTTCATTACAGCTTTAACATACTCAATGACAATTTCCAGAGCAAGGATACATCTCTTTCAAAAGTGGCTATAAAATTTTTAGGTTCACAGTTGAATTAATATAGTTATACAATAAACCGTCCATTCTCAGTATTCCTTCCCCCGCCTCACCTCCCATTCCTGAGTGGCATTTCTAATTTCTACAAGGCATCAGCTGTTGTAAGACACTTCCTGGCTTTTTCTCTGAACATTTTGGCTACATAGTGATAGACTCCTTCCCTTCAGACCTTGATGTACCTGACCCAAATCCCTGCCCAGGGATGGTTTGAGGGGTCTGTAGACTCTCCAGGCATAAAGCCAATACAAGTGAGCTATAAAAACCCTCAAATCATTCTCTTTGAACTGTGTGTGCTGTGCTTTATGTTAATGGTCCCCGCTCTGCTGCCTGTTGGATGTAGCCTCCTCTTTGGAGTGGCTGTTTCCTTTCTCCCCTGAGAGATATAAATAGCGTAG